GGAGAAGCACGTCGTGATCGACGAGAAGGAAAACTCATCGCCAATTGGGATGGACCCTTTCAGATAATAGATAGCTTGAGTAACGGATCTTATAAGCTTGAAACACTTGAAGGTAAAGTTATACTGAGGACTTGGAATGTCTCACATTTGAAATTTTATTTCAACTAGAAAGAGTAATTTTGTAAACTTTGTGCACTTTTTTCCTCGCTCGAGTTTTGCGCTTTTAAAAGAACGTGAAAAGAGGTTTTTTCGAGAAGGTTTTTAACAAGGCACATCATCAATAAAGACGTATCTTATTTATTACTCATGCTTCAATTACAATTCCCTCCCGAGTACCTCACTCGACTAAGGTTGAATCACTCCCTTATGAGTATCTCACTTGGCTAAGGTTAAGTCACTACCTCCCAAGTAACTCACCCGGCTAAAGTTGAATCACTCCTGAGTAGCTCACTCGGCTAAGGTTAAATCGTTCTCTCCTAAGTACCTTACTCAAATAAGGTCTAATTATACTGCATCGCACATTATGTATGTCGTGCTCGGTTAAAGGTACAGAAAGTTAAAAATAATTGCAGAATATTATCGTTATTTGTCGTCTTTAACTCAGTTGAAATATTATATAAATAACTTGCTTGAATGGTAAAAGAAAGAATATGAAGATAAAAAGTATATTCCAATTAATAGAAGGCTCAAAACGGTTGAGTCAGTACAAAAAGTATATGAGCGTTAAAGCCCAACAAAATTACAAAATTCAACCCTAAATATAGCCCGCTACTAATTACCCTGACTTGGGTTCTTGGTAGCCCCATCAACCCCTCCATGATCGCCCTTAGTCGTTGGCATAGTCTGACAAAGGGCAAGTGCGTCGACCTCAACATCATCAGCCACTTTGTCATAACTAAGGAACTTCCCTTGAAAGAAATTATTTGTCACGTCAAAGTGAAAAGCAGGAGGCACTTAACAAAATTGCACTGTCTGTCGAATAGCATGTTGAAAACCGGCCTCGTGCTCAACTATGATGTTGCCATGGCACTCAGCTACAAAAGCCTTCATGTCAGCATTAACCTTCTCTTTATTACGCCTTTCCCTTGTCAGGGCATCGACCAACTCCAACCCTTTAGCCTTGGTGGATTTTTTAGCAGTACAAGCACAATCTTTAGAGACACGAGCCCGGTCTTCTACAGCTTAGACTCGATCATCCATTATCTTGAGGTGCTTCTTTAATTGTCCTACCTTAAGTTCCAAAGTTTGATTAGTATCGGCCAAATTAGACCGAACCTCTTCACTTTGCTCAATAGCCCTTTCGATAGTAGCCACTTGGTGCTAAGCCTTCTCAAGACCAAGAATGGGCTCCAAAGCCAAATTCTGGCGAAAACCATGGCTCAGGTTTGGAACTCACAGAATCACGCCTATTTTGATCTTTTATTATGACCATCAAGGAGAGCCTGCCCATCATCCAATACCAGGTTTGGTGACACCAACCGTATCGTCCGAACACCCTTTCCAAAAAATTTATCTGTCATTACCATTGCTGGAACAACAAACTCAGTTGAAGAACCACTTGGTGCAGACAATGTTTGCCAAAGGGTTTCGATGCGAGCGTGTTTCTTTCTACATTCACCTTCCTTGTCCTTGCCTTTATCTTTCCTTTTTTTTTTGGCACCTTCAGGAGGTGGAATGACGACTAGGGGAGGGCGGGGTGCATCAAGTTCTGGAACTTGGTCCACTTGGGGATGGCGATGTTGCTCAACCGAAATACCTATGGAGTCTGAAACTTAAGAGCCTGTCGGTAGGTCACACTAGCTCCCTTTTGCGCTATTATACCTGCACCGAAAACAAGGAGTCAAATCAATATAACATGATCGATAAAACCATAATCAAAGAAACGAAGCATACCTTTCAGATCTAATTGAGGCCAAGGAGACTTTGGCAGAAGAATAAGAGCTTGGGTAGGAAGTTCTCGGGGCAATGTTTTTAAATAATCCAACGCCGACAACTCCTTGGGAGACAACATCTCTTTCGGGTATACGTCATACCAACGAGGGATGCAGGTCCAGTGAAAGGGAAAGAGGGGTTTACCTTCATTATCATAGAAGTATTTTTTACCGGCACGAAGATTTACCTTCACCTTAAAGTATCTGGTCTTGAACCCCTTGAAAGAAGAAGTATAAGGTTTGAATAGTAGCAACTCGGCTTGCCTTATTAAACCACCTAGCTTTATCAGAAGGATAGGTACAAAAGAAATGAAGGAAAAGACCTACACTAGGTTCTATATAATGATATTTACATAATATCTGAAAAGCTTGCATTGTCGCCCACCCATTCGGGTGTAACTAAGTAGGTGCCACATTCAGCACACGAAGCACTCCCGTTTGAAAGTCATCAAACGGTAGCACAACCCCTAATTCTCTAAACATACACTCGTATACAAAAAAGGTCTCGGCCATCCCAACATCCTCACCTAAAAATACAAGTTTAGGATTTGTCGATTCATCTCCTCGACAAACCTTGACATGTATAGGATATGGATCTAAATCGTCCCATAAACCTATCCTATACAAATCTACAAAATTTTGGAGATGCCCCTTCTGACTGAAACGCGAAAAGTAGGTTGATACTTGTCCATCTACCCATTCGTACCCAGGAATGATACAAGTTGGAAACTTTGGTCTTTTCCTTACAGGACTTGTGTTAGGGAGAGGTTCGTTTGACTCAGAGTCTATACCTTCAGAAATAAGTTCCTCCGCCTCATCACCCGATTCCCTTAGCACATTGATTGGTTTAGAGGTCTCGTCGGTATCCGACCACTTTGCTGTTTTCCCCTCCCTTTCGATCACCTTAGTAATACCATAAACAGTATTCCTAGCTAACGAACTCCTCGGTCTTGAATCCTCAGATAGCAAATCTTTCCATTCCATTGAGTTATCCATACAAGAATAGAATAGAAGAAAAAGACAAGGCTAAAAACGAACGTACCTTTGAATTTAAAAAGGAGAACACTTGAACAAGTTAGCAAAAGTATACCCTTCGGTGTAGAGCAGAAAGCGTACATAATACTTGGACCACTACCTATTTATATTACATACGGCTTCGGGTCGATGAAGGATCACCTCTTTTCTCAACCGTCAAATCTCTTCCAGATTAACGGATAAGAACGAGCAACCTTTTTTTTCAAAAGTATGAACTACGAGAAAATCCTAATCTACTAAAACTTTGATCTGTCTAAACCTTAAAATGCTAATAAATTGTTCTATTAACTATGGGAGGCAAAATTACGATAAATGATTCGGTCTTTCGCACATAAACAGGAATCTGAGTTCCTCTTCGGCCTAACACCAACAAATTTTAAGCTGAGTATTCTATCGGTTCTGCTTATCATACCTTTTTGTCCCTTATAAAAGTGAATCGATACTAAATACACAAATTTGAAGCTTGTTACATCATACCTCATCGGGCTTAGGGGGCAAGTGTACTGGATAAGGCACTCGATCATCACATTAGAAAAAGGAATCTGATTACCTCTTCAGCCTAACATAAACAACGGATATCTCTCTCGTCATAATAAGTCAATATTATGATTCACGGCTAAAATAAATAATCATTAAAGAAAAAGATTAATTACCTAAATAAATCAAAAAGCTAAAAATAGGGTTAAGTCATGAAGCCCAATAGCCCAAAATTTTGTCTATAAAAAGAAAGTAATAGATACAGTAAGAGGATAAACTGATGAGTATTAAATAATATTTATTATCTAAACCGATAACTTACTTTATCATTGAAGTACCTTTTGTAGGTATCTTCCTCCGTCATAAAGAAGGAGAATTTAGAATATCTGCGAAGACATCACGTTACAGGATAGAAGAATGAATCATTGAAAACTATTATATCCTTAACATGAATATTTTATTTACATTAATTAATTAAAATAAAAAATGATAATTTTTAAAAATATATAAAATTTTAACAAAATTTAAGAATACCAATTAAATTAATTAAAATCTTAATTTTCGTGTAATAATTAAAGAGATTCTACGTATAAGCGCAAACATAATATACTTGTGTAGGTTTAATCTCTAGTTATGAATAGAATATGCTAAAAATTGAAGGGAAAAAAAAAGTTGCATATAGAATGTGTATGACCTTATTTGAATTGAATGAATCTATAGATAAATTCTTATAAAAAAAAGTAATATAAAAAATTGAATAGAATATCTCACATAAATTAAAATTGATGTATAGTTATTTATTTTAAAAGCTATTCTGATTTACTTTTTAAAAAACTTTAAGAAATAAGTTATTTTATTTTGAAAAAAATTATATTCATTTTTTATATTATTTTTTCTTACAACAACTTATCTATAAGTTTTTTCAAACAAAACTTATATGCAATACTTTTATTTAAGTAAAACTGATAAAAGTTTTATGTTTTATATACAATATTTTTTATTTTATTTATTCATCTATTATTTTTTAAAATATATTATGAGTTGGTACACTTGATAAAATTTAGCTAAATATAAAGACAAATTAACCATACAGACAGTTTTTTTAAAGAGTTAGGATAAAAATAAAAGAAAATTTGCAAAAATTAAAAATAAAATTTGTTAAATTTATAAGAAATAAAAATGTATTTAATTTTCTTAACCTAAAGCTCTTATATACTTTTTATTCAAATAACTAAGGATTTTTTATAGGTTAAAATTTGAAATAATTTAAAAAGTTTTAAAATTAAATATTTAGTAATTTTGATAAATTTCACCGATTAAAATAATAAATTATACACAATATATTTCATCGATTAAGATTTTTTATTTACCTTTGTGTAAAATTTATTATTTTAATCGGTGAATTTTATTAGAAAAAAAAATATAATTTATTTTAATCAATTCAATTTATAAAAATTTTAAATAATATTTTCAGTAAAAAAAAATAAATTGACTACAATAATTAAAAAATTTCTCTCGAAATAGTTATTAAAAAGAAAAATCATGCAACTATCCTATGCCACTGGAAAGAGCCCCTGAAAAGAAAAACTATTACACGAAACATATATTAACTTGTAGCTTCTACTTCGAATTGAAGGTATTCAAATCCCAGAGTCCCAGATTGCTCCCAATCCACGGACACCACTTTCTCTTCACATCATAAATGGCTACTTCGGAAGCCGTTGATTTTGCTCGGAATTTCGCAGTTATGGTCAGAGTTCGTGGTCCTGTGAGTTCCTCTTTCTTTCTCTTTCTTCTCAAATACATGGTTACTGCATAATCATGGTTCACTCAGCTTGCAATTTCTGTTTTTCCCCTAACTTTTCACTTTTCAGGACCCAAAAGGGATGAAGATGAGAAAACACGCTTTTCATCAATACCGGTTTGTGAACCCTATCCATATCCATAATCTTATTTTGTTTGTTACTCACAGTTTCGTTTTTTAAGCCTTTATGGTGGTGGGTTTTGTTTTCTCCTTTTGGATACGTGTAGTTCTGGCGAAACAACTCTTTCAGCTTCAGGGGTGCTTTTACCTGATACCCTTGTTGACTCTCAAGTAGCTAGGCGTCTCTATGGTGACTACTATAATGAGGATAGGGTATTGGTTGTGACAGTTGCGTCAGTTGTTGAGCCTTTTCTATCCTCCCAACACAGAGAGAATATTCCTCAGGTTGGTGCTCTTAGATTTATCAATGGATAAAGTTAGATAGTTAATTTGTTTTGTGCTTGTGTTTTAAATTGCTAATTTATGCTTTTCAGGGTAGGCCTGAGTTGGTTTCTGGGGTTCGGATTGATGTTATGACAGAGAAAACCAATGAAAAATCTAATCAGGGAACTCCTTGTTGGCTTGTGGCGCAGCTTTTGTCATTAGTAGGCATTTTGATCCTTTTTGTTCTTTATTTCTCCACAATTAATGGTGTGGTGCTCTTGATAGTTTGTAATTTAATTGAGTGATTGAGTTTATGACATATTCATTATTGTGAACGCTGTGTTTAGTTAGTGAGGATCGTTAAGGTACATAATTAGCTTAGTCTGATGTCATTTAATTCCCAACATTCTTTCTGGATTGTATGCGGATTTTTGTCTTTATTCCTAATGTGTTTGTTACAGTTGCTCATATTCATAGAAAGGTAATGATAAACTTTCAGTTCATAGCATCATTAGTTTTTGGACAAAAATTTAGTATAAGGGCTTCTATAGTGACCTCTGTTAAATTTGATGGTTTGTTATTTTGACAATTTGTAACATTTGTTTCTTAAAATGCTAGGATTTTTTTTCAATACTCTTTTCTAATCATTATTTGTTAGTTCAATGCTAATCATATTTCTGCATCATGCAGGTTGATATTCCTGATTCAGCTGATTGTCTCCAGACTCTTATTGAAGCATCTTTGGGCTTGCCAGAGAACGAATGGGAGGTTGGCTGGTCTTTGACATCTTACAACAATGATTCTCAACCTTCTAAAGAGTTTTTTCAAAATCAGGTTAGTTAGCCCTTTTTGTTCTTCATAAATGTGTTTCTCATTTTGCTATAAATTAGTTTACTTGATAAAGTTGTACATAAAGAGAGATCCTTGTCAGTAACACAATTAGGAAGTATGATCCCTTGTCAAAGCAAGCTCAATATTTTTGGATGAAGAATGATAAATCTTGTATGATATTTCAGGGAAGATTGGCTGTGGGAGGATCTGGCAGTGCAAGTCTTATGTGCAGATCACTCACTAGAATGGCCATCCTTAGTGTTTCTTTATCTTTTATGGTATCTTTCAGTTTTATTTTTCTCCAGTTGGATTCCTTATGCCAACAGCTGTAACATAACAAAAGATAATTTTTACACGTGGAATGATTTTACTACTGGATCATGGCTCATGAGAATAACTGGTTGATGGTTGTATTAGGATTCGTTGGATAGTAAAGTATCAGCCATGAATAAAAGGGGTGATTTTCTTCTGGCAGTTGGGTCTCCTTTTGGAGTCCTGTCACCTACGCACTTTTTTAACAGGTATTATTTTTTTGTTTGGATAAAAGAAGAAAATTAGAATAACAAAATGTGAGAGTTACTTCAATTATGGTTAAACACTCTTCTTGCCCATGTTTATTTATTTATTCATTTTATGTTTCCATGAACTGTGGGGAATTTGGGATCAACTATGTGTTGAGTACAGGCTGTTATTTTTCTAATACTGTGGTGAAGTGTATATCAATGTTTGACAAATTTTGTATCATCCATGTACTTTGATTTGGTTGCTTGCTTGAATCAGTATATCAGTAGGATGCATTGCAAACTGCTATCCTCCTCATTCATCTGATGGATCATTGCTGATGGCTGACATACGCAGTCTTCCTGGTGTGAGTCATTTCTCTGTTGCATAATCTATTGGTTATTTATGCAATTGGTTGTGGCTCTGTTTTGACACTCTACCTACCAGGAATGGAAGGCAGTCCAGTTTTCAGCGAGCATGCATATCTTACTGGTGTCTTGATCCGACCATTGAGACAGAAGACAAGTGGAGCAGAAATCCAGGTACCACGAATGCATGCTCCTTAGTCAACATTATCGAAACCTCCAATTTAACTCATCATGCAAAACTCTAGTCTTTGGTAACAGCTGGTGATTCCATGGGAGGCCATTGTGACTGCTTCTAGTGGCTTGCTGCGGAAGTGGCCTCAGAACACGGTGAAAGGGTCATATAATCAGGAGAACCCTCATGCTGTAGGAAATGGGCCTGTCTTTGACACCACCACGTTAGCTGTATGCTCTAGGAATAAACATGAGCATTTAAATTTCAGTAGTTCCTCACCCTTACCAATTGAGAAGGCAATGGCTTCTGTCTGTCTTGTTACTGTTGGTGATGGAGTATGGGCATCTGGTGTTTTGCTAAACAGTCAAGGTCTCATACTTACAAATGCTCATCTGTTGCAACCGTGGAGATTTGGTAAAGCACACATAAGTGGTGGGGGATATGGAACCAACCCAGAAAAATTCTTGTCAATGTTGGAGGGATCCACTTATCTTGGAAGCAGAGTTGAGAGCAATCAAGTTAGTCAAACTTTACCATCAAAAATGCCAATTCATGACGACCATAGAAACATTTGTGTACGTCTTGATCATATCAAACCTTGGATTTGGCGTGATGCAACAGTAGTTTTCGTCTGCCAAGGACCATGGGATGTTGCCTTACTGCAGCTTGAATCTGTTCCAGATAATCTTTTGCCTATTGTAATGAATTTTTCCAGGCCATCCACAGGATCAAAGGCATTTGTCATTGGCCATGGATTATTTGGCCCTAAGCGTGGTATGTCCTTCCTGATCTAATTTATCTGTTTCTTTCTTTGTTAGATGTCCTGATGTACAGTGAATGTTAAGGTTGTTCATGATGACATATCTGCCATGCCAAAGTTCCTTCAACTGTTTTACTATTCCTCATGTTTGTTTGATTTTCTTTGTGTTTGGAGTTCCTGCTTCTGCTTCAGCATTTCCATCTATATTTATTGGGAAATACAACAAAGTTTGACCTTCATTGAAATGGAACTGTTGTGCAAAATAATCAAATTTCGTGCATTTCTAATGCTTCTAGTTCCCTCTGACACATCATTGAGCAGATCAGCTGCAGAATGCTTCAAACAACCAAGAAGTAAACCTTTTTGATGAATAAAATAAAATTTATCTTCTGTATGGAGAGGAATAATTGCATCTTTGTATATTTTTATCTATAACTTAGATATAAACCATTATAGAACCTTCACCTAATAGTAGCTTTAATGATTATTGGTCCTTAACAAACTTCTCTTGCAAATATTAGGTAAAGACTTCGCAGGGATTTCAATTTCATAGTTCATACTGTTAATAAACTCATCAATAAAGCACAGTTATAGTCAAAATATAAGTTTGAGTACAACCCATGACCTGGGGCTAAGACTGCAAATATGAAAATTACAATGGGACTCGAGGATTTAAAATATGTAGTTAACTGAAATGGCAGCACCCTAAAACCTAATAAGCTAAAAAATTTTGATATGGTAAGGTCTGACAGAACATTACAATCAACCCCATGATCAAAACTAGACACAAATACATTGGTATTTTAATCTTCAGGCTTATGCTTCTTTTATTATATTTCTGTCTGTTTCATGCTTACCTTTCAAAACAAGGTAGAACAAGCTTGCATGTTTGAAAACCTCAGGGGGCATATGCGTCGATGCAAGTGATATTTGTATAAAAGAATATTCCTTGCTATTCTTGAATTTTTGTGGCTATGCTCTAATATATATAATTTGTTGCTGGTGTGATTGGTATGAGATGTTATGCTGTATCCAATTTATGAAGAACCAATTCAATTACTGTGGGTTTTCTTTGTATTTCCTTTTGTTTAACGTTGGATGTCTTCTTTTTTCAATTAGGACACTTCCCATCTGTTTGCTCTGGTGTGGTGGCAAAAGTGGTGGAAGCAAAGACTCCTCAATCTTATCTGTCCATTCAACCTGAACACATGCACACCCATGGGCACTTCCCAGCAATGCTTGAAACAACAGCTGCTGTTCATCCGGGTGCCAGTGGTGGTACTGTGATCAATTCAGATGGTAACATGATTGGCCTGGTTACAAGGTAACGCCACCGCCATAAATATAATGCTATCACCTTGTCCTATTCCTGTACCAACAGAATTTATGTTCATTGTGTACTGAACTGCTAGACTTTGATTCAATTGGTATCATAGCTCAGGATCAAGGTTTTAAAATCAGAATGGAAGTAGGTTGTCTAGTGTTTAATGTCCATGTGTGTTGGATTTCCAGCAGGATATTGCTCTGAGGAAGCTATAATTTGCAAATCAAATTTGCCTTGGTCTTACTAAATTCATGCTTTGATGACTACAATGATCTATTTGGATCGAATTCTTTAGCCCTAGAGACTTTCCGTCTCTACTGACTGCATGAGAGTGTTTTCTTGTTTTTATTTACTAAGGAACTCAGCATGCTCTGGCTGGTCCAATTCCTTTTGTGTAATATAAGCTTGCGTTTTTTTTTTTTTTTTTATGAATTTCTTTATTGATTGTTCCTGAATGGTTGCAGATTAAACTTCCATATTTAATTAGATAATATTTCTTTTTCGATACAGCAATGCAAGGCATGGTGGAGGAGCTGTAATACCTCATCTTAATTTTAGCATTCCATCTGCTGCTTTGGCACCCATCTTCGAATTCTCTAAAGGTATGCTTCTACAGCAATTGTTTAGTACTGCAATGAACATAACCTTGTGTTGTTCCCACCTCAGCTCTCCTTGGCTAACAATTTTGGAACACAACACTATAAATGAGAACAATCAATAACATTTGGAATCAGAAATCTTGGAAAACTGGTCATAACAGTACTACAGTAGGCAAAAATACAAATTATTTTTCCACTTTGCCATCTGATGATGGGGTTCTTCCCCTGCAGACATGCAGGATCTATCAATTCTACGGATTCTAGACGAACCAAATGAATACCTTTCATCTATATGGGCATTGACGCGACCATCATATCCCAAGATCCATCCTATGCATGATCCACCTCAGGCTGTTACAGACAATAATAGTAAAGAAGAGAAGGGTTCTCGGTTTGCCAAGTTCATTGCTGAAAGAAAGGAAATTTTCAATGGGATTTCTCATGTTGGAAAGAGTGGAGTGCTTTCTAAGGAAGTTATTCCTAGTAAGCTATGATCTCTGATGAAGTGACTATGTTTACTTCCGCTGAATGACAGTGACAAAGCATTGCTAGCATACAATGAAGTGACCATGTTTTCTTTCCTGTATTTGTAATTTTCTGACTGAAATCTTCTGAACTGCATTGTTAGCCCAAAGAAAATCAAGGAAATAAATTTCCAAATGATTATGCTTTTACTTTGTTGAAGTTTACAACTAATTTTACACTTAGTTATTCTTTTGTATTTTAAGTGCGTTTGGGGGTTTGGGGGTGAATAACTTAATTAAATATCTATTATGTGAAGGTTCATGATATAAATCTGATTATGAAATTTACTAGAATAAGTTAAAAAAAATTATTTTGATAGGTTATATAAAAATGAGAATCGTGTGTTGCATTAGTCAGCTTCTTTATAAATTGTGAACCCAAAATGTTGAGAAAACAGGGTGGTTGGACGAGTGCATACTTTCTAAAGCTTTTGCTAGCCATCTTATGCATTCCCATTAATAATTCCAGCAAGGCCAGGAAGACGAATGAGTATGACGTTGGAGCATATTCAATTAAATGAAGTTTTCTAAATCTAAAATTTAGTGTGCTGCATGGTTCCAATTTGTGATTCGGTGAATAAGTTCGCAGTTTTGTTAAGAAATCATTCCCATTCTGCAATACTTGTTTGCAAAATTAAAACTAAAACTATGAACACTATTGGAAGAGCAATTACGTCCCCAAGCGTGTCTTTGCTAATTATAACAAATTACAATGTTTTTTTCTTGGCAGGACTCAATCTTTTTCTAGTTTTTTTAATTGTTGGTTTCATTGGGACTCAAATTTTATTCAATAGTAGAACGTTGAAAAATGTATTAGAGAGAATATATTATTACTATTGCTCTTTAATTGGTCGTAGAATTGGTAAGGATATTGTTAAACATACAGCTGTGGAAATTGAATTGGAAATTTAACTAAAGCACCAACCCGTCCTTTGTTTGAGGGTAGTAAACCATCAGATATAACTTAACACAATCAATTTTAATTCAGTTAAAAAAATAATAAAACTGACGGGAAAAAAATGTATTAAAACTTGTTAATGTGTCCCAAATCTGTATAGATTTATATGTGATATAAATGTGTGTTTTTGTTCTGCTTTGTAAAATCATCACGACTTGACAATATAAGATATTAAACATTTATGAATGTAAATGAGCAGGTAATATAATACCTATCCTCGTACCTGCGTTTTAAAAAAAAATCTGGTACTCGTGTGTGGTATAAATGTTAATCTTTGCGCGTTTGTTTGAGAAAAAAAATATTTATAAAGAAAAATATATTTATATAACTTCATATAAGTATTATAATAATAATATAAAAATTCAGTACGTAATTATCGAACAAGGAACAAACATAGATAAAAAAATAAATATTCAAATAGTACAAGTGCTAAATATATTTTAATATAATAATTTTTTAAACTAAAATTCTTAAAAATCATAAACAAAATTAAATATTTAAGTTATTTGTCAGCAATGATCCTGTCATGTGTGAGATTTGACTGAACGATAATAGTAGAGCGACGACAAGATAGATCTGTACAATGAGTGACCTGTCGTGTGAGATTAATTGGTAACCTTTTGTGCCAACATTAACAACTAGCTCTAATGAGTAACGATTCATAATTGCTGCAATAGGTTTGAATGAGACAGAAATTGAGAATGAAAGTAGAGTTAGGACAAAGAAGTTTAAATACTAAACGATAACAAGAAATTGACACTATATTTTTTTTAAAACTTTTGAATTTTGTAAGAAAAATAATAAATTTAATTAAAATAATATAATATAATTAATAATATATATATATATATATATATATATATATTAATACTAGTATTTTAACTCATGTACTACACAAGAGTATTTTGTCAAAAAATACAAATTTTTGAAAAATTATTTTAATGAATTAAATATTTATAATGTATATAAATTTTAAAAAAAAGAATTTGAATAAACGATAAATGGTCACAACAAAATTTTATAATAAAAAAATTATACTTTTTTATCTAAAAAATTAATAAATAAAAATTAACAATATTTTTTTATATTTTATATCTTTTTAAAACTTCTTTAAATATAAGTAAATGGTAATAATAATATTATTTAGATTCAATAGATTATAGTTATATTTATAATGTACATGTTTATAGAAAAATATTATTTTAAATTGAAATATAAAAAATAAAATTTAAATATTATCAATAAATAATAAGCTTACGGTAATAGTAGGTTATTATAAAATTTATAAAATATTTATAATATATTTATTATTTATCATTCACTTTATGATTTAAATATTAATATGATTTAATTAACGAAAATATTTGTGTGAAAAATATTTTATATGTGTCATATATAAATAATTTTTTTTAAAATAGTTAATTTTATATTAATTATGTAATAATTAAATTGTATTAGCCTAATTAAATGATATAAAATAGTAAATAAATTTTTCTATTAAAAATATAAATCAAAATAATTATTTTAATTTACTTTATTATTGAATATATTTTTATATTTATCTTATATAACTTCACATAAATAATATAATAATACAAAAATTTAATACATAGTTGTACAACAAAATTTAAGTATAAATTAAAATTTATATAAATAGTATAATTAATATATATATATATATATATATATATATATATGGAGTGAGATAAATATTTAAATATCCATATCTGCACATATTTCTATTAAAATTTATTATTTACCATACCTATGTCTTTACTTATGTAATAAATAAATACTTTATTCATTATAGATAAATTTTATGGATGTCTATCATTTTCTTTATCCATTGTTATCACTAACAATAACAAGAGATTCGATAAAATAAGAAGAGTTATTAACAATAAAGAAGAGAGAAAGCATTTCCAACCAAAGGAAAGAACAACTGTGCAGATTATATTGGATGAATGGTTGAGTGTGAGACATTGTTGGGGTAAGGGAGTAGAGAGAGGGAAAATATTATTATTATTATTATTATTTTCTTAAAGTTTAATTAAATTATAATGTGACAAAAAGACATGAGTTGACAAGATATAGCTGAATGTTTGTATAAAACTACCTTACATTGACAGCAAATAGGAATTTAACTCTTAAAATGTGTTAATATTTAAATGAAGTTGTTATCTCCTTTGCTCCTAACACCAGTTTGTGGGGACATAATTCTACAAGTAAAACAAGAGTAAAATTAATTTATTTAAGGATTCGCTAGTATACACCACTTGTGTATTTTAAAGAATATCTTAGTAAATTATAATTTTATTTTTTAATTATTAAAAATATAGTTTGTTAATATTTTATTTTAAGAAAATAGGTATACCTTAGTAATTATGAATGTAAGTATGTATTCAGATAAAACTAAAGTATTGTACTAAAATATTTTTTATAATGTTTTTAAGATGATTCTATTGTCGTTTCTAAAATAATTTTATGTAAAATATTTTTTATTGATTAATTAAATTATTAATAATAATAATAATAATATTTAAAAAATGTTAAATAACGAATGGTAATAGAAACTTTTCTAATTTTTAATTAAAATAAAAATTTTATTTCAATTACATAGGATAACATTAAACATAAAATTTTGATAAAGATTAGACTTAAATTTTGTTTTAAAATGACAAAAATATTTAATAAATTACACTTAAATTTTATCAAATATATATTCATTTATTTTTTTAAATATGCTAAAAGGTTTCTTCATGATAATTGATAGCAAACCTTTTTAATAAATATTTTAGTTTTACTTGATAGATAATTTTGAATATTCTATTTCAAATTTATGATTAATTATAACTTATTTTAGTCATTTTCTCATTGTATTTCTAAATGAACTTTACTCTAGAGCTCAGAATTTTTAGCTTGAGTTTCACTACAATTCCCATGACACTGAGCATCACCCATTTTTCTTGGGAGCTATATATTGAAAATAAATAAAATTAACAGAGATGCTGATTGTAAATAATGAAGATAGAGTATATGTAGTGACGAAATTCGGAAAAAATTTCATTTAGCCTTATGTCATTAATGATAACAACAATGAAAACTATTATACACAAATCCTTAATTAAATTTTAATGTATAGAGTTACTGATTTTGTTTATCTCTTATTCAATGCTATTTATCATAAAAAATACTAACAGTATATTTTTTTAAAATACTCTTTTTTATTACATCTTTTTAAGACCACAATTATCTTTCATTGGAAGAGAGGAACTTGAAACCAAATTTTAAAATAAAATAACTTCTACTGATTACCATACTTTCAACTGTTAACAAAAATGTATTATAAATAAAACAATATAATTTTTTCTTAATTTAATAATTGTCATTTTTAATTAATTTTAACTAATAATTAAAATCATATTACCAACACTTAACTTTATAACATCAAAACTTACAACTCTTCGAGATAAGGTACCTTTATGCATAACATGCAGTTATAAACTATATGCATTGTAAGTAATATTGCTCTTTTATTTTAGGTTGGCTTTAAGGAGCACTTGTCTTGTAGGGTGAATATAATTAAATTAAAAATCAATTTAGATAAAAAATAAATTAACAAACACTTAAAGAATTAAGAAAAAAAATAAATTAACAAAATAAAATTAATAATTTTTTTTATGTATTACAATTTTTAGAAAATTAAACAAGGAAAATTTATGAAAAAAATAAAGGTGTAAATTGGTTATAAGTAATGATAATAATGTAATTTATTTTATTCTTACATCTTATAAATAATCATTAATAAGTTAATCCAAATTGACTCTAAATTAAATAAATTTTACTTATTGAAAGGCATGACACTTAAGGATTTGTTTAGAAGATAAAAATGAATAAAATGATGAAGTATAATTTGTATATTATTTAAGGTTTTAAAATAAATTAATTAAACAAGAATTTAATGAAATAAATTTTATTTTATTTTATCAATATTTTTTCTTTCCTTGAATTCGAGAAATTTGAGATAGATTTTTCTTTTGTTATAATGAAAAAAGTCAATTCGTGTTACATATTTAAATATGGTGAATAAATCTACCACTGAAAATTTTTTGTATACACAAAATTTTAAACCCAAAATTTTACTTAAGCGATACCGAACCACTTACTACTTGAACGAACCTCTGTTGGTAAATCATTTTCTATCTTTAAAGAACAAAAGATTGACCATGAAATACTTATCATTAGTAAAATTAATTGAAATATTTACTCTTAAAAATCACTTACACTTTTTTTTCTCTCTCATTTATCATATGCTATTATTTAAAATGACATTCCTATTAACTTTTATAAAACAATGACAATACATTTAACTTTTAGTTTTTGATATTTTTAAAATTCTATCTAAACAATTCAAATTATCTAAGAAATAATAATTTTAAAGGATTTTGTTAACTTCAATCTTTAAGATTGAGTTTAAGCATTCACAAATAGAAAATTTTTATAAAAAAAGTACATAGTTATTATATTAAAATTATAAAAATACAATAAATATTTTTTCTAATAAAAGTACTTTATTTATTTTTTAAATAACAAATGCAATTGCAACCTTATCATTTATTAATCCCAGTGACTATTTTGTTAGACATTAATTACTCACCCACTAGCTTTATTCCTTCACGCAAGAAACATATGATGGATACTCAAACTTAAATAAGAAGTTTGTCAACAAAGGCAATGATTAAACTAGAATTGAAACACGTTCTCTATATTGAAAATTGAGAATATAATACAGTAACTGTAAAGATGAAAGAATAGCTACTATGTACTTGTTTTATTTTCCAAAACTTATGAAACTAGTTGCCCAAATGGTGTGGCATACACACACGCACAAGTTTTTTAGAAATTTCATTGAAGGTAAAAGAAAAATAATAAGAGAAAAGAAAGAACAATAGTACAAAAACTTTGACTGCAAAATAATTTTGTTTCAATTTTTTTAATAAAATTAACGAGGTCGTAAATATTACCTTTAAATTAGACTATCACATATCAATATCTAGTAGTTTTTGTGATTGAAAGTTTAATTTCATTTAAATAAGGTTTCAGATTTAAATCTCATGCACGTTCATCGTTTGGACAAGATTTTTGTTATACTTATTTTGAAACATTATGTTTATCATTACACTTTAGAGCACAACCCATCAAGATAGTAGAGAAAGTTATTTATGCTAAAAAATTGAAGAAGCACGCAAAAAACAAATATACTTCCAATGGCCATGTAAGTCAAGCAAGATTTCTTATGCAAGTGAAAACAATATATTCTCATAGATATAATTGATGGCTGCAATCTTAGCATACATTATATGTAGGGGAAAAAATTGACAGAAGAGAGAGAGCTTCCTCAGAGGCCAATAACATCATTTTGGAAATGAAGGATTCATGGAAGATTTTATTTTAATCATTTGCACCTGCTTGCCTTGCCTTGCTCGCCTAATGAAAAAAAAAGGCCTTTTTTTTTTTTGCTATTATTGTAATATTATGCTTGCCTTAGTGTTCATTCTTGTCCAACTTGTCAAAGTCCATGATATTCAGAGGAATTTTTGCGACGCCTCTCATTATGTCCAGCCAAACGTTTTCTACAACTCCTTTTTGAGTCATCAAATTCTGATAGCTCATGAAACCTGGAAAAAGAATTATCCAAACCAAAGTTAAATCCTGGGAAATATTTTAGACAATAAATTTACTTCCTACACTATATATATGTTTCTTGATTGGTTTAGTTTGTGCGACGAAAGGTTCCAAGGAACAAGCTGATTTGATTTATACAATGAACATGTTTAAATCTACCACCTGAAGAGAAAGAATTGAAGTGTTAGACATAAAACCATTGTTCATAGTAGCTTGAAATTTCAAAAGAGTTAGTTCTTGACTGGTATAGTTTAAGATTATTTTTCTAAAAAATTAAAATATATCATGTGTTGATGAGTGTGTATTACCCTAAACCATATGCATCAAAATTGTTGATAATTGGATGGTCTGAAATCATCCTGATTTGCCATCTTCATGGAGGATCTTCCAACTTCATGGATTAAAATGAGAAAACTTTTTATTTTGTCAACTTCATGGATTAATCATGGTTCTAACATTAAGTGATCACTGAAGTGGAAAAACTATTCATGCTTGGCGTATTAGTAAATGCCATTCAGAATGACTCTATGCTATATAACCTTGAAGGTTGATCACTGTCCCTGTCTTAGCACAAGTAATTGGTCATGTACGAATATATTGTACCTTTGGGCAAAATGTTAGGGGGTGGGGGTGTTAAAAGAATTCAATCGGAGCACATTACATCAATAGTTTTGTAATGGGTACTCAAGAGTAGTTGTTTAGATACAATATGCACATTAACGCATAATCAAGGAAGTGTTAAGAATCCTGTACCCAAGAATTGTCCCCCCCCCCCCCCCCCCATTTGAGAATTAGAACTCTTTTTTAAACAAAAGAAATATACTTAGTCACAACGAGTAATAGTATAGTTTAACTCCAGCTAGCTAATTGTGTTAGGTAGGAGTTAAAATCTAAAAATTAATAAAAGGAACAATTTTTCAAACAAACGCAAACTTAGACACACAACATCTCATATATACTTGAGACTTCAATCAAGCACACCTTAAGAGTTCTTTCACTAGGGCTGATTGGAGAGAGCCAAGCATATATACAACACAATTCTAATCCATCAAACCTCATCCTTTAGTCATTCCACACAAAGGACTAAACTTCAAATAAAAAAAATGCAAATATTACAATAGTTAGATTCACAAAAGAAAAGAACCATTTAATTAATTACTTAAAAATAAATTAGGGTTTCTCAACCTACCTGCTACATTGTTGGCAAAACCTTTGATGCTGCTCTGCAATGAGTACGGCAGGAGCCTTGGCATGGTACTCACAGACCTTGTGGCGCTTATGGTAGGACTTAGCATCACTTAGATCAGCATTACAACCATCTACTTGACAAGAAGGTGGCACTGAGCCTCCAGCTTTGGACCCTCTCTTGCTTTGGAGATCACTCACTACCCTCTTCTTCCTACCATCCTCTCCATAACCCATCTCACTTACCTCTTCCTCTTCCTCTTCTTCATACTCATCTTCTTCCTTGTACTTCATGCTCCTCTTTCCCACACTCCAGCTTTCATCCATAAGTTCAGGCAAATTTTGGAGAGAAACAGAAATCAACGATCTAGAAGAAGGTTATGGAGAAGTCAAGGAAAGACCACAACACCTTGATATAAATAGAAAAACCAAAAGAATAAATATAATTAGAGAATGGGTGTCGACAACATGGAGTCTTCATTTATTGGTTGCCAAGTTAAGGGACCATTCATTACGTAGAATCTCTTTTTATTTTTGAGGATTTTGTATTTTTAAAAGAATTGTGTTTTATTTTGGAAATTAGGATTTCTGAGAATCTCATAAATATATCTTGCATGCTAAAAATGTGTTTATAAATATAATAAAACTTTCTTATCTCTTTAGGATATTTTAGATTCTTGCTCATCTCATTTTTTTTATTTTAGTTTCTTAAAAATATATTTTCTATAAACATGCAAATTTAACATCTCTAAATTATTTTTTAAAATTTTCAAACAATTTTGCTTAATTGTTCATAATAATGAACCAATTTTTATTTTTTTAATCATAATTTTATACATTTTTTAATCACATTTAATAGTCTTTTATTTTATTTTCTCTTCAAGATATATGCACTCTTAAGGTTGTGAAAAAAAAAATCTCTGTCCCTTATTTCTTTCTTTCTTTATTTTCTCGATAATGAAAGGTCGCAACTAGGTAGCCAACATAAATGTACAATAAAAGAAGACCTAGCGAAGACTGCTCCAGCCCTTCATTTATTCTCGCTCTTCTTCGATTTTTGTTTCGCAATAATTTTATATAAATAATTTTAATGATGGATACTTCTAATATTTTTAATCTTCTTTTATAAATTCTTCTAACTCCTAATTTTTAAAAAAATAATAAATACGAATATTTTTTTAAATTAATACACCCTTTTATAAAATAATATTAAATAAATATAACAAAGCTCTTTTACTAAGAGCTTATAGCTGGAGGGTGGATTAGACTGATTCTTTCTAATTTGGTAAAAACACGTTTCCATATTTAGTGGCCCTCATCAATCCGAGCATTGGTTCTTTGATTTCCTTTCTTGGCAGCTTGCAATTTTTATTACCGTCAAACATCCAAGAAAACAGAGAGAGAGAGAGAGAGAGGAATTCTTAATTTAATCAAGTTATAAGTTGTTCGTGAAGTTTAAAAATGTTTTTGTTTCTAATTTAAAAAATATATATAAATTAAGATATATGATTAATACATTATTCACATTAAAATCATTATTTTTTTCTAACATGACTCGCTACTATTTATATATTTATGATAAATATACAAAGTATTTAAGAATTAACTACACATAAGAATCTAATAATTAATAATTTAAATTTCCAAATAAATAAACAATTTTTAAGCAATTATAAGAAATGAAAAAATAATTCATACGTAGTAGTTTATTATTATTAGGGGTTGAAAACCCTGTAAGTTTCCTTTTATGGCGGCTCTTGCCGTCAAGGTCAAGGAGGATTTTATTTTTTTATCTTTTTTTATTTATAAATGGCTTCCACTATAGTATCCAATCACGTTTTCTTTTGTTGGTACGAATCATCCAGTCACAATCAAGACATAAAACCCAACACGAAAATATAAAGATTAAAAAAAAAAATACTGATATCAATGCATGGTTTAAGTTTCTTGTCGTCTGCGTGGACAAAAAATTTTCTGTCATCTAGCTCCAAAGCAATGGTAATTATTAGAAGCCAACAGAAGCCTGTGCTCAAATTTTTGAAGAAAGAAAGTGGAGCCCCTGTCTCTGAGTTTTCTCTCTCTTTCTCTTTCAATTTCAAGTCCAACAATAGATTATATATGATATTAATTTTTTGCCCTATTTTTCCATTTGTTTTTTTACAGTAAAAAAAATAGAAGAATGATAAAAAATATTAAAAATATTTTTTTACAGTAAAAAGAATATAGTATAAAAAATTTGAAAATGGAAGAAAAAGATTGTTGTAGATTAACATGAGAGTGTTGAGATGATAGTCCTTTTCATGAAGGGGTGGTGGTGTGGGGGTCGATTCGTTGGTGAAACAAAGCGTGCATCTGCATTATTGAAAGGAAAGGAGAAGATACGGTGAATTGATTTAACAAGTTTTGGCCTATATGGCTACGTACGAATACCCACTATTGCATGGTGTTGGATCTTTTGGTTTTTGGCCCTCTTGCTTAATTTGTTCCCAATTTGCATTTTGGTGCAGAGCCAACTGCAGTGGCCAGCTAGATCCATACTCACCTGGGTTACCGTCCTTATTGCTTCCATTATCATCTCCCATAGCTTGGACCACTCTTATCGTTTATTATATTGGTCCCCATTTGTACGAGGGTAACATTTTTGTATGTGAATTCTCTTTCCTTTCTTTAATTTGTAGAATATTCAATGCCAATGTTATTACGTGTTGTTTGAATTTTCAAAGTGCACATAGCTAGTGGAGTTAACTACCGATTCCAACATAAGATTCTTTACCTATATACTCTAGTGGCATATTGAACTTGCGCCTTATATATATATAAGCAGTAGAAGAATATTTTCAGTTGTGTTGGGTTAGGCCCTCTAAAGTATTTTTGGTCTGCTCTACTGGCACAAAATTTTGTACACACGCTGTTTCAAATGCTAGCTAGCTAGGTTTACCTCGATTCGAAAGTACGTTAAACATTTTATTTTTTAGTACATAAATCTTTTTTTAGTACCAAAATATAATTTTGAGGACTAAGTTTCGTATTACTTTGAGCATTACTCCCCCAAAATACATATTTTTCTGTCTAATTTATATTCTTGTTATCTTTGATCAAAGTATTCCACAAGAACAAACTTATATATTCGATAGTTAATTACCATATTTAAAATTATTTCAACATAATTGTTACTTATAAATGATCCGATATCTCCGAATCTAAACTTATTTGTCGATTATTTTATTATTGTTGTATTAAAAAATTATAGCTCGTTATACCAACTCTTTGTTTTTAACGATATAAATAATAGTTTGTGAGTTGTAGTATTAATGACACACTCAAAGTGAAAGTGAAAGACAAAGATTGGAATATTCTCCCCAAACTAACTACTGGCATGCTGAGAGTCAAAGCACGAGATTGGAGATATTAGTTTATTACGATAACATTTAAACGATGTATAATTAAGTGGTATGGGGATAAAATAAGGTGAGGGTACTGACGGATATAGCTAGAAATTAAATAATCATTCAAGATTAATCAATGTGAACTAATTGTGAAAGAAAATGAATATTGAAATATCAAAATGCTAAAAATATTTCTAGGTAAAATAGATATGGATCCATTACAATGTGGGTCCCTAGCTCTAAATACGAAGATTAGCTGGAACAAAATTATTGTAGTTTAATCAATACTTTTGAAGTTGAATCCTGACAGAAGTTTGCTTTTCTGCATGTTTGGCTCAAGCTTGAATCACAAAAAAAAAAAAAAAGTTGCAATGTGAGATTGATGAGAAACCAATTACAAGGTTAGAAGCAATGGTTTAAGACTGAATTACAATAATTTTAGAGGAGATTTACTGCATATAAACAGATGATACATTAAATTAGTCCTCAAAAGTATAAATATTAATTAGTTCAGTCTTTAAATTATAAAATATTATATTATTATTATCTAAATCTTTTATAAAACGATCATTTTAATTTCTAAACTTTTAAAAGATAATCATTTTAAACCTTAAAAATTATAGTTACAAATTCAGAATCATATTTTAATAATTTCAGAGATTTAATTGATGGTAAGTAATAATTGAAAAGTAATAAAATAGATTTTTAAATTGAGTTACTAGAATATTGTCTTATATAAATTGTTTCTAATTATTGAGAATATTACGATTTAATTGTTTGAAATAAAATAGTGCGTAATAAAATAAAATAAAATAATGAAAGATATAAACTAAAAAGTTTAATTAAAAGATAAAAAATATAGTACAATTTTTTATAAAAAAACTATTCAAGATGAAATTAGAATATATAATTTTATCTTTACACTATTTTATATTTATTTTTAATTTAACTTTAATTCGGGTTTCCTTATGATTGTCAATCATCACTTATATTATAACTACTAATACTTAATAATCATGTAATACTAATATTCTTTTTCTTAAACTATCACTATCACCCCAAATGATCATATAAGGTAGAAAAAGAGAAAAAATATAAAAATCCTATGAGTTTGTTAAGTCAATAATCAATTAAAAGAAAAAAGATAAGTTTGGTCTACTTAATTTTTTTTAATTACATTTTACCATATAGGTCTATTAACTACATGTAATACAATTACTTATAATGTTATCAATTATGCAATGTTAAGAGTGACCAATTCTCAACATACAAATATACACTCACTAGCAAAAATAATCATTAGAAGTAACTGCAATTGTCATTAAACATAAAAATCACATGAAATATGCAAAGGGTCTATCATAGCCTTGACATGGATTTAGTTATTCATAATGAAATATGAAGAGAAAAAATAGTAAAGAAATCTACATTCATTCAAAAAGAAAACACAAACTAAAGGAATCACAAAAGAAAATAGATGAAGAAAATTCTTATTCTGAAAAAACGCTCTCGATCATTAGCTCAAACTTTAAAAGGTAGCATTCATTTTCACTGATAATCTCCACTTTAAAAGCCAACTAAGAAAAGGTTGTTCAAGTTGCAAACCCTAACTGTCCTTAAATAGGATTTTTTCACCCTTAAAAATCTCTTAATTAGTTACATCAGAAAAGGAGCATGGTCATGCATGCCCATAAGCACAACTGTGCATAGTCATGAAGCACTTCCAGGTTAGCTGTTAAGTAAGGTCATGCTTCCTAGGAAGTGTGACCCTACTTTCAATATATTTTTGTCTCTGCTTGTGATCAAAATACTTTTGTAATTCGCTAGTAATTCATTTATGTTAAACGGCAACAATTAATAAATAAATTATGTAAAATTTTCACAATATCGTCTCACAGATATTATTTCTAGTTAAAAGACACTTTTACACCTCTTTATGTTCACTTTTAGTTTAACTTCAATTCCTATTTTCTTATTATTATAAATCACTCATAGTATAAATACTAATATTTA